TTATATCTACTATCGTCTTCATTGGTATGAACTTTGAATGTTGAAGATGCAACATTCATTAACTCTTTTACATAAAATTGAAAAAAACAAAGATGAACAATTAGATATTCCATGTAAAAGCTACTTTACCGTTGTGAATGTTTGTAGATGTACCGATATTCGTATTTGATAGCGACGATGAAAGTTCCTCATCGTTTTCATCCAACAATTCAATCAAATGTACAACATTTAATGATGAAGAACCGAGTGGATCACTCACAACACGAACTCGAGTACCCAAACCTAAAATCACTTCATTTTCTTCAGGAAAATTACTATATGGTGCTATAAGTTTTCCATTCTTGGCTTCGATAAGAAATAATGTAGAAGATTGGCCAAGAAACTGTTTCACTACTTTCACTAAACTGGAGCTTGAAGTAATATTCCACCAAGTTAGTTCTTCACCTTCTTTGAAGTTGTTACTAATATCCACATTCACTCCACGCCATAAACTTATGTGATGGCTTGGTAGTTTTTTCAATGCAGTGTCAAATAATTTTAGATAACCATGCCATGGTACTAGTACAGTTCGGTCTTTGATTCGAAGTACTCCATTAAGTACTCGATAAAGGCTTTGTTCGCCCCAATCCATTGTATATATATAAATAGCTGCTGATTCTTCACGAGTTAGACCATGGTCCGAAGGAAAATGACATTCAGTCTTTGCAACTCGAATGAACTCATTTAGCTGATTAATGTGTGGTAGAACCGGCTCAAGAGCTTGTCGAAGTGGAAGTAATGGATGAGTGCGATAACCATACACAGGTGAAAGTCGTGTTGGTTTATGATCAACGTTTGTAAAGCGCAGCATTTCTTTCAAGGAATAAAGTGTAATTATAATGGTTGATCCAAAATAGTAAAACAGTGAAAGATCAGTTATTAATAAATAATAATTGAGTTTGTTTTGTTCTAGAGCTGCTAGTGATTCTTTTTACCTTCTTTTTTTTATGAAGTTATTGTTAGTAGAATGATAAGAAAGAAGAAAGACATAAGTTTTATTATCACTGAAGTGTTATTTGCTTGTATGATGATAAAACAAAGCTGTCTATTTTATTTTATATGTATGTGTGAATTCTTCCAACATACAAAGTAAATATTGAATTTTTAGCTTGATAAATAAGATCTATTCGCTGCAATGATAAGCACGATCATTTACTCACAGAATATAAAAGCAATATTGGGAGCGCTTTCAATTACTTCGGCGTTTTAGTGGAAGTCTTTTTACTAATTGAAGTTTTTTCCTTAACAATTCTGTTTAAAGTAAGAAACGAGCTTTGAAGTCGAATGCTTACAGATTACGATGTATAAAAATAATACCACTAATGTCCCGAAAAATTTAACCAATCAGTATGTTTCTTTTTTGTTAAATACTAGTCTAGATATTTTTCATAAATCATTTAATTCTATCAATATTAGCATGCAAATGATTTTGAGTATAAATAACTTCTAATATATTGCAACTATAGAATCAGATCACCCAGATACATTCACAAGATATTTTTAAAAGTTTATAAAAAAAATCTTGACTCAAAAATTTATCTCTATTTCTCAAAATGTAAAAAAATTGATGATTTTTTTTTTCTATTTATTATTATGTATTTATATGAAATGTTCAGTCGATTGCAAAACATTTTTTATACTACAAAGAACAAAGCATGGAATGATGGTAAATCTGCTATTTAATAATGAATTTATCGTGAAATATCTTCAATAATTACACCAGGCAACACATTAGATCATGGTGAAGTCTATAAACTTCATAAAATATATTGATGGGAGTTGGGGAGACATATTAAAGAAAATATTTTAGTTTTTTACCACTAAAATAACTTGTATTTTGATCGAACGTCAATGAACTATATGTAAACAATAATATCCACACGATCTTGAATTGATCTTTTGATGAAAAACGTTAGTCGCATTAAACTAAATGTGTATAAAATAGAATATAAATGATTGACGTTTGTTCTTTTAACTGAACTTTTAAAATATTTTAATTGTATATGAAAAGAAAATGTTAGATTTCATTTTATTTTTAATTACAAGAATAACATCACCAGTATGGTTTACATTCTCATCTTTGGAAATTAGAGTATGCAGTTTATTTAGTTAAGAATTGATCTTGGTTGATGTTGATGGGTTAATTGTTGAAATGTACGAGTTCTATGATCTTGATTATTTCCTATTAATTCAATAGGATATATCTGTTGTTGATTATGGTGAAATAGTTTTTTTATTTGAGGTGATATAATTGTAAAACAAATCGTTGCAGTGAAAAGTCCAGTTATTAAACACATTCCTTCAATATGATGAGTATATGGTATCAAATAATGACCAATAACATAGATCAGAAAAATAAATACGGAAGGTAAACCAATACTAACTGTAACTAATATAAGAATAACAATTCGCTTAAGAACTAATAAATCTCGTTCATTCGATCTTTGTCGTACTTGTTGTATTCGATTTGTTCGACGAATATAACGAATAATATAAACATAAATAAAAAATATAGCCGATATAGACGAACCATAAATTAATATTATTGGAGTAAGTGTTCCACGAATATTCTGAAAAGAAATCCAACATGTAAAATATAATGGCAAATATTCATAATCATTTGGTAGAAGACTAGAAAGTGGTAAAATAAATGATAAGATCCATTGAATAATAAATGCAATTATAAAAAATTCACGTGATTGTAAAGATTTTCGTCTATAAAAAGCTATTCGAAAGAGACGAAACATAGCTTGAAGAACAAATGTATTAAAAAACATACAATATCCAACAAAAACAAGATATGCACGTATTCTACACCATACATTATCAAATGAAATAGATGGATTTAAATCACCATATAAACTATATGTATACATAATGAATAATATTATACTTGTTAAACATGTAGATATATAAGTATTAAAGATTAAAAGATAAGTTACATTGGAAAATAATGAACGAATACGAAAGATAACTAATATTAAAATAAATATCGAAATAATGAAAATTAAAGAAATAAGTAATAAAGCAAAACTATTAATAATTATTCCAATGTTCATTTTAAAAGGGATTTTGTTAGAATAATATTACGAAATAGAATTCTTATTTAAATGATAAATAAGGAAATAATGTGCATCGAGATATTATAATTATATTAGCGGAAAAAAGAGAGTTTAGAAATATGTATATAATGAGAAGATAAAAAGAAATAATTTCAAACTTAATGAACTGTTAACAGTTTTTTCGAGTGTATTTTTATTGAGGGTGTTACTTTATCTTTATTTTTAAATAAGCGGATATCAATAGCTTAGTAACTCATTTATAATGAACAAATTAAAAATTATAGTTAATATAATTTGTCTTGTTTTGAATATTTTCTATAATATATGATTGTTATATCAGAACAGATTGATATATAAAAGAGATCGTAAAAAAGAATAAGTCAATTAGAGAGAATCTAAATATAACAAACATGAAAAGCAGAACGTGAATATATAAGATCATTATAGCAGTCTTTATGCATATCTAGTTTAATTAAATACGAGATATAAAAAATGAGATACCCGTTGTGCTCATTCAAACTACGAAGTGGAATAATAATGCTATACTAGTTTTCTATTTATATATTAATTGCATTGTATTTTGACCTTCACTGATTTATCATGAAATAGTATGAGTTTTCATTCACTCGATCATGCATCATCATTTTTTTGGACTCTGTCAGTTGAGATTTGTTAGTATTAATCACTCACACTATAAATCTTTACATTAATAATAACGAAAATAGTCTAGTATTTCCTGTAGTCAACGATATATCATCACTATTCGTATTTACATTTGGTGATAAAGGAATATTGTTTGATTGTTGTGTTCTTGACAAAAAAATGCACTGTTCGTACTTGTAATACATTTTTTATTAAGATCATGGTACAAACAAGTATGATTTTTCTGAGATGAGTCACTCTGATGCAATTCAATAATGAAATATCGAGCAACTACCTTTACTCAAATATTGTTATTCGATTCCATACAAAAGAAAAAGAAAATACAATCTTATTCTTCATTCTGACGCTATAACATATTTGAATAATAATTAAAAAGAACATGTGTTATTAGGTACCTGTAACAAATCAAATTGGATTATTTTCTATTTTGCACAGAGAAAGCTTCGCAAACCTGCAAGATTTAAAATTAGATATTCTGTTTCTATAGAAACGTTACTTCCTCGCATCTATTCATTTTAAAATTCTTTTAGACAGCATTGGTTAATTAATGAAACTCGCACTATAAGTTCGGTTACCGAGTTTTTTATAAGTTAGATTGTGTGATAAGAAAAACTTTAGTATGTTTCTAGTTCACATATAAAGTCATCTGGCATCTACTTAATGAAACACAGAGACGAATAAATAAGCATTGTTCTTAAGGCTTCATACAGTATTATTCATATCATCTGATGAAGCACTTTGAATTGCATTAGAAGCTCCAATCAAGTGCAAACAAAACTATACTTATGTGTCCTTCTGATCAAATCTAATTATTTATAAAAAAAAGTTTGTTTTTTTTAATAAAAAGAAGAAATGAAATCAAAAGCTTGCATATCAATGAACACAGTCAGGTGACTGTGTAAAAATAGAACCATATAGAGAAATTCTTTTCTTTTTTTTATTATTGATTATTATTTTTCTCCAACAATAAAATTCATCTTATTAATTTCTTAACCGCCTCAAGTGTTAGTCAGTAATTCACATATTCTCTATCGTACAAAATCAGAGTATGCCTTTATAAGAATTAAGATATCTACATTATTATTCTTACAGTTATTATTCTTACAGTTATTGTATTTTTCATTTTATACTCTTTGCGTGTAAGCTACTTTAATATTATTCTCAATGTACTTGTGTCAATGAAAATGATTCAAATAGCTACTTCTTATTGATTTTTTAAGGATAATGAACTCTACAAATATTATTTTTAGATATTTATTGTAAAAAGAAGACAATAGAATTATGCTTTATTGCCTGTTACTACTCGTTTACTATCCATTTATTCAAGCTAATCATTTCAATGGTGGTAGCATTAGATGGCAACCGGTAAATCCTTATACCAATTCAAGTTCAGTCACATTAACTATTATACAATCCTATCGATGGACATATCCTAATATAAAATGTGCAACTAATGTACCAATGACGACTAGTGGTCGAGCAACTCAATACTCGAATCTGACCTGCATGTCTGATTGTTCAACTGATGGTGGTTATTCTAGTGCACCCATTAATACATTAACAGATTGTACTTCTGCAAGTTCATCAATCGGTATGATGACAAGTGAACGTTCAAAAAATATTACACTTACTGCAGGTGCACATTTCTATCTGGCATATGTAGGAAGTGCATGGTTACCACTAGGTAGTCCGACTACAAGTAATCTTCAATGGTCAATAACTACCTCTATCGATATTCGAATGCGACCCGATGGCTTTATTAATACACCACCTGTTGTTGGTTTAGTACCTCCACAATATATAATTGTCAATACAACCGCTCAAATTCGTATACCTGTGTCAGATGTTAATGCAGGTGACGATGTGCGCTGTCGATGGTCAGTATATACAAATGGATATCGTCGGAAAAGGCAAATGGATGATGATGTATATGATGAATCAACCACGGTTGCGTATAAAACATCAATCTTCAACAAAGAAAATGTACTCCGTAGGAAACCACGATATGCATGTTCTGGATCCTGCCAAACTAACTGTGCCCGCAAGTGCCTCTGTGGTTGTTCGGCGTGTCTAGGAACCACTTGCA